CCAAAATAACCACACATAGGCCTACCTACTTTCTATGCAAGGGAGGTCAATATCAGCCAAACTTCAAAGGTAGCCATAGCATGGAAAAAAGAGGTCGGGGGAGAACAAGAGTAGGGGAGTGGCTCCTGGATCTCCTGGATGGTCCTGATACTTGCCAAGGACATCGATTAGGTGGGAACCGGGCCCTCTGGTAGATGGCAGTAAGCTTGTGATGGTTTTATTCTTCGTTTTCATAAGTGGGCCACAGATTCTGTACTTGGAAATCCATTCGTAAGTGTATAATCACTTCTCATTTGGCTTGAAGGTTGCTCTGCGGCATAGTGAGTGAGCTTAACCGAATTCACAGTTCACATCAATAATTTACGTTACTGGGCTCCTGGAAATCCAGACCTTTCCAAAGGTCTTCGAAAGAACTCTCTAATTAATGCCATGTGTGTTCCTACCTTTGTTTTTAGCCCCCGTTGGTCCCGCCTCCCGGGTTACTAACTCCATCCACACAGCAGGGGTGAAGAAGGGAAAGTGATCACACAGTGACTCAGTAACATTTTAGAAACACGGTGTTTCTGTTTACCATTTAGAGTTTTCTGTTTATTAAAAAATGCTTTTTGGACCATTCCCATCTACCCTGTGTGATCACATTCCTCACTTCCATGGCTATTGTGAATATAGTGACCCTGTAGTATTTCACTTAACCTGGAAAAGATGTTTTCTATCCAGATGTCTATTTCTCAGATACAATCTGTTCCAGTAAATCGCTTGCTAAATCTTTTTGCTTTTCTGGTTTTTTTTTTTTTTAGAATGTTTATTCATTTTTGAGAGAGAGAGAGACAGAGACAGAAGGGGAGGGACAGAGAGAGAGGGAGACACCTCTCCCTCTGAAGCGGGCCGTGTGCTGACAAAAGAGTCCAATGAAGATGCGGGGCTCGAACTCATGAACTGTGAGATCATGACCACAGCTGAAGCTGGATGTTTAACCGATTGAACCAGAGGTGCCCCCCCACCTTTTTTTTTTTTTTTTTTTTACTATCTAATCAATATGGAATATATTCTCTTCTCTTCTCAACACTGATTATTCAAATATATATGAATACCTATAATATGTAGGTGTGTTGGTACCTATCTTTAAAAAAAGGAGTTAGACATGAGAAAATTAGGCAAATATGAAAATCATCAGGAAAACAAGTTGGAACCAGAAACGCATTTGTACACATGTTTCAGACCTGAGTCACATATAATTCTGACTGTGAGATTTCTGGAGGTCCTATCAAAGAAAACATATCTGTTAAAAGATTAACTATCAGTTAAAATCAATAAGTGCTGGGGTGCCTGGGTGGCTCAGTTGGTTGGGCATCCAACTATGACTCTTGGTTTTGGCTCAGGTCATGATCTCACAGGTTTGTGAGTTCAAGTCCCATATGGGGCTCTGCACTAACAATGTGGCGTCTGCTTGGTATTCTGTCTCTGTCTCTCTCTCTCTCTCTCTTCCTCCCTCCCCTCTCTCCCCCTGTCTGCCCCTCCTCTGCTCTCTCTCTCTCTCTCTTTCTCTCTCTCAAATACACTTGAAAAACATAATCAGTTTTACACAAGCATGGTTTTTCAGAGAAGGAAGGTACACCAACACTAAGTAGTAGTGTGGTCACTGTGGTATAGGAACAGTAAAATTTCCCAGAGTGGGGAATCTCTGGGTTTTATTAATTAGCTTCCATGTGACAGGTCATAGATGTCCTTTGAGAAACCACTGAGCTAAAGTAAGAGCTCTGTATTTCTTGTCTTCTATTAGTTGAGAAGCCCTAATTCTTCAGCTGTCCAGAAGGAATCTTAGTAGTGGTCTTGCTCCTGTGGGTCTATTGCCACTGAAGACTTTCAACTTTGGAACCTCAACAGAGAAGGAGATTTGTCCAAAAGCAGTGATGTATGAAAGTTCTTTAGATATTGTTCATTTTGCTTTTAGTTCTCTTCATACAATTGAAGCTAGAGCTTTAAGTCAGGAAAATATTATAATGCACTGAAAAGTTGGTACTTTGGGGGTGCCTGGGTGGCTCAGTCACCATCTGACTTTGGCTCAAATCATGGTCAACTTTTGGGACCTTATCAAGATAAAAAGCTTCTGCACTGCAAAGGAAACAACCAACCAACCTAAAAGACAAGCGATGGAATAGGAAAAGATGTTTGCAAATGACATATCAGATAAAGGGTTAGTATCCAAAATCTATGAAGAACTTACCAAACTCAACACCCAGAAACAAACAATCCAGTAAAGAAATGGGCAGAAGACATGAATAGACACTTTTCCAAAGAAGACATCCAGATGACCAACAGTCACATGAAAAGGTGCTCAACGTCACTCATCATCAGGGAAATCCAAATCAAAGCCACATTGAGATACCACCTCACAGTGGTGGAAACAACAGATGTTGGCAAGGATGTGGAGAAATGGGAACCCTCTTGCACTGTTGGTGGGAATGAAAACTGGTGCAGCTGCTCTGGAAAACAGTGTGGAGGTTCCTCAAAAAATCAAAAATAAAACTACCCTGTGACTCAGCAATAGCACTATTATGAATTTATCCAAAGGATACAGGAGTGCTGATTCATAGGGGCACATGTACCCCAATGTTTATAGCAGCGCTTTCAACAATAGCCAAATTATGGAAAGAGCCCAAATGTCCATCAACTGATGAAATGATAAAGAAGATGTGGTTTGTATATACAATGGAATACTACTTGACAATGAGAAAGAATGAAATCCTGCCATTTGCAACAACATGGATGGAACTAGAGGGTATTATGCTCAGGGAAGTAAGTCAGCCAAAGACCTATCATATGTTTTCACTCATAGGTTGATATTGAGAGACTTAATAGAAGACCATGGGGGAAGGGAAGGGAAAAAATAGTTACAAATGGAGAGAGAGGGAGGCAATCATAAGAGAACAAACGGTTGACTGGGGGTTGGGGAGAGGGGAAAGTGGGTGATGGGCATTGAGGAGGGCACCTGTTGGGATGAGCCCTGGGTGTTGTATGTAAGTGATGAATCATGGGAATCTACCCCCAAAACCAAGAGTGCACTGCATATGCTGTATGTTAGCCAATTTGACAATAAATTATATTTAAAAAAAAAAAAGTCATTTATGGGAGCTTCCAGCCTAAGGCAGTCCTTGCTGAAGCAATACTACGTCAACTGTTGGCAGTACATGGCCGAGTGGGGAAGAGGATAAAGAGAATGCATTCCGCCAGGTAGATCGCCATGACTTCTTGCAATTCCGTGTCCTTCATTCAGTATGATAAACCGATTTGAACCCAGAAGTTCTCAACCCCCATAGAGAAATCTGAAACAATTACTTTCTCCATTAAAAAAAAAAAGAAAAAACCAAACCTACTAACCTATAGGGATGTTGGTTGGTTTCTGGAATAGATAATGGAATATTGTGTTTCAGTATGCTGTAATAAGCCCTCCTTCCTTTTAGATACGGAGTATGGTGAAAATAACACCAATAGTAAGAGCTAACATGTATCGACCGTCTTCTATACGCTGGGCATTGCACTCAGCATTGAACCTGCTGTATTATGTCCTTTTGTCAACCGCTCCATGAGATAGGTGCTTTTCCTTTATCCACTTTCTTAATGAGGAAACTGGGGCATGGAGAAATTAATACCATGCCCAGAGTCACAAGGCTCATAAGGAACAGATAAGAGAACCAGAATTCAACTCCTGGTCTGACTTCTAATGACGTATAAACCTCCTAAATGCATAAAGTTCTGAGTCTGCTTCTCGTTCTCTGGTGGCAGATGAGATTTCTGAGGGGACAGGCTTACCCATGAAAGGGAAGGGGGGACATGCCATGGGCAAGGGACATCTGAGGCTTGTGAAAATATGAATTTACTGGGCTGGTTTTGATGTACCTATCAAGAGACAGAGTTTTATTTTCCGCGGTCAAGAAGTGAGGCATGACAAAAGCTAGACTGAATTTCGAGTGGCCAGACCCCCATAAGAGAGTATGTCCTAACTTTGTGAAATGTTGGACTTGTTCATCCCGGATAACTTCTTTCCACACAGAGGAGGTGCACCCACATGGTTCAAGAGTAGCGAATAGATTTTATGTGAAATTTTATCCTAATTACCACAGAATTCTCTCTCCACTGATACCATTTGCATGAAAATGGTTTCCGGGGTAGAACAAGGTTGTCTGAAGAGTTGACCCTGCATCACTGGTACATGGATTAACTTAACAAATAAAAGGATTTTTTTTTTGACATTTAGGATTTTATCCCCATAGGTGTCTGAGCAAATTAGCACATGAAACCTGTGATTTTACAAATGTTATTGCTTAGTTGCCTTACTCACAAGCGGCACTATATATCCAGGGTCCTTGTGTCCCTGGTCTTTCCTTTCTTATCATTTCATTGTCCCAGTTCTTTGTGCACAGAGAACTCCCACGGACCCCCTATCCTCGTAGTTTGTTTTTCCTTATAGTCCGTGTTGCAGGGCTGGGAAACAGATAAAACAATCTTGGCCGAGTCAGATAAGATGCTTACAAAGAAAACCTACCATGAGCTGCAATTAAACAGTGCCCAAGGGTCAAAGCAATCTCCCTTTCCCTAATCGCCATGCCTTACTCAAATGAGCATTCCCCAGTATGAAACGTGCTATAGAAAATGTACCTGCGTTCTCAGTCTTACCCTCGATTCAAGATGACCTCAAAATCGGAATTCCCAGAGTTTTCTAAAACTGGGCAAAACACACGTTTACTCTTTTGTCCCCTCTTTTCAGGCCTGCTTTCCGTTTTATCTCACAGTGCTATCAGCGATTTATTTAAAGAAGGGTGGCATCTCTTCACCGACTTGATTTATTGTTCCCCCATTCCTCCGAGCTAAGACTTGATGTTCACCGGTAATTGCCTCGCAGTTTTAAACATGAGCCCGGTATTCCTTCTTGCCGATGACAAATGCAACAGATGACATGACGCATGGGAGAGAATTAAAGTAACGTTGTCTCTTCTTTTCAGATGGTAAGGTGGAAGTCACCAAAGAAGGTGTGAAGCTGTGCACCATGGGTCCAGGAAAGGTGTTCGGAGAGTTGGCAATTCTTTACAACTGTACCCGGACAGCTACCGTCAAGAGTAAGACTGTTTTCTTATTTTGCAAATATTGCCAGCGCCGTTTTCCCCTAGAGCTTTGAGATGTTGGTTGACGTACTTCCGGATTCAGTCTCTGTGATTTTGTTAATCTAGAGTTTAATTCTCACCTTGCAATGGGGTTGATACATCTGTCCGCTGAAGGAGGGTTTGCAATCAGTTCTGCCTGACTTCAGTTGTTTCACTGACTTGTGGAAAATCGTCTTTTAACCCGGGATTCCTAGAAATTAAGATTTACAAAACGCGATCTCTTGATAAATTAAACAGAAGCAAGACCTTTTCGCTTGAAGCCGCATGCTGACACTTAAGGAATTTTTACGTATCTGTCTATTCTGGGTTACGTTCCCCCCATAAATTCCACTTGTTCATTCATTGGGTTAGAAAAAATTTAAAGGAGAAATGTCCTTCATCTCATTCAAGCCTCATTGAGCGAGATATATCCTGAATTCTAAAATTGTGTCTGAGTATATTCTTGTCTTCAGCTGCTCATCAAGCTGTATATTATAGTATTTTTCTTTTCTACTGATTGAGCTTATTTTAAATCGGGGCAATAAAGCAACTTGTCTCCCTAATTTTACATATATGTGTATATATGATTTCTCTAGCAACTCATTACTCGGTAGAAGCAGCTGCAGGTGTTGGGGACTGGGGGGAGGTGGTGGTTTTAAATACTCCTTCCTGACTACAGGATATAATGAGTGTGTAACAAACAGAGCTGAATGCAAAAGGCAACAATGGAAGGTCCATTGCATCTTTAGGCAGATGTGTGTATTTCGTGTTGGAAATGTTCTTTGGTACACAATTCCTGTGGCTCATCGCAATCACAAGTCACTTTGATTAGGTTTTCTTATCTTAAAAAAAAGTACTATTGGCAAAATGAAAAATTATCAATCAGTTTCAGCTGGATGCCATTGATTATTTTGTTTACTGTTTTTTTTTTTTTTCTCTCAAGTATGGCATGCGGCTAACAATATGGCACTGAACCTTGGATTGTAAAGAATTCAAGAATGCATGGCCAGTCAGAAACCCAGAAATTGTCCTGTAGGTCTTGTTAGTGAATCGCCTTTTTATTCAGTTGCGATTGCGGCCCTTAGAGGATGAGTGCCTCGTGATGTTTTATCTCGATCTTTGAAGGCAAGAAACTCTTTTGATTGATACGCACCATGTTTTTATTTTATGTGATCATTTAATTACATGACTCAAAGAATAATGAAGCCCAGTGAAGCATAACAGAATCTGCCACAACTTTAACTTGTTTAAAAAGTGCCTTAACTAGAAAAGAAGAGTAGTCCTGACACTATTAAGTGAAACAGATTATACTGTCATGCTGTGTTTTATGAGAAATACATTCCTTGTAGGTCAAAAAAGGGACAGGAGTAACATATTTTGTTTAAAACAGGCTTTCTCTGAATTGTGAATAGTGAACATTTTAAAATACTTCAGCCTTGTATACTGCTCGTTTAATTCTAATGAAAACCCCAATTCCCAAGAGGTCAACAGTTGGTAATAACATGTGCTTAATCTTTTGAAACTTTGAATTATTAAAGAAATATTTTAGATAGACTAAATAGTGCATTTAAATTTTATAGCAGAGATTTTTTTTTTCATAAAATGATTGCTTTATGAAATTGATGAGTTTCCTATAAAATGGAGTTCATCTGCTGTAGCCTCTATTGTATTACTATTTGATCCGTTGAAAAACGTCCTATGTATCTGATTGAGAAGGAACTGGGTGTTGAATGCAAATCACAATTCTAACCATTTGGGGCAATCAGAACATCTACATCAAAGAAAATGAGTAATGGAGCATCTTCTTTAACACAGACTCAGAAAAGGCACACATACGTGTGTGTGTGTGTGTGTGTGTGTGTGTGTGTGTGTGTGTTTCTTCATAGTGCCTACTTAAGATGTGGAGGTTGTACTGAGAAAAGAGCCTAAGGTTGATGGAGTGTAGACCTACCTCTGCATTTATAGATGGAGAAGTTTCTGCATGAATGAGGAATAATATCTATTACCGAGAGATTCTGCGTATCGTGTAAAGAACTATAAGGTGTGAATAATGATTATTTCTTATTCAGGACCTTTTGTTCTGTCTCTTACACTATCCAGGGTGATTATACTTATGACCATGATCCTTAAGTACCACTTTAAATTTATGTTTAAATTAAACTTTCAGGCTGATCACTTTATAATTCTGATTATGTTCCATTATGGATGCTAATTTTACCAAACGACTACAGAACAGAAACCCCCCCAATGTTATCTTACTCTTCATGTGTGATATTACAAAATGGCCTTATTTGGCTTTTTAGATCCAGTCGTTTCTCAGGATTCAGGATTTTGTTGGCTCTTGTCCATTTTTGTTAGCCATCATTTTGCCAGTAATGACCATTTGGCGTGTGGATTCATCCACCTGGGTGTGGCAGTCTACCTCTCAGGACTTCACTCGACCTACTCAATAGCTTGCCTATCCATGCCTCTTTCTTTCTCACTTCTGTGGGATGTGACCCCATTTGTGTCGACATCACCTATTTTGTTTCTGATCTCTTTCTCCTATCTTTCTCCCTAGGTCAGCCTGAAAGCTGCCTAGCATTTTAATGCATTTTTAATCTCACAGTGGTAACTAAATCCTAGGTGACAGTCAAGAGTTCCTCCATGTACATGAGTCATTTCTTGTTCAAAAGAGCACTTTTTTTTTGAAATTGTATCAGGCCATGAATAAATAAATCCCAGTGACTTCCCGCTAACAAATAGGATTCTATTACCTGTGGGCTTTTTTTTTTTTTTTTTTTTTTTACTTATGGTACCAAAAAAGTTGTTTTCTCTTTAAAGCTCAAAATTGATAGATGCTATAAAGTACGATAAGCTTGTTCGTAGTGTTTCAGCCAAAAGAAGTGCCATGATGGTTTGAAACAAGCTCCTTGTTTTTCATTTGGGAGAAATCAATTAACATGCCTCAGAAAATAAATGTATACTACTGGTTATTACGGTAACACCAGGAGAGGGGTCTGATAGCACCAAGAATAACTCTTTAAAACATTGAAACCATAAGGACATAGACAACCTGATAGGATAGTGCAGGAAATCTACATTCAGAGTCCATTCCTGTCTTGTAAAACAGCACCATTGATTTTTCCCCCCCTTGAGGAATGAACATATCAAAATACATAAAATTAACATTTTGTTGGAAACACATGTAATGGATGTCTTGAGGTCATTCGTGGCTTAAACACCCTCAAGTTTTCCCTGTTACCTGTGATAGGAACACGACCACTTGGACCATCCATCCTATCACAAACAGTCCAGATGCCCCGGGGAGGAACAAAAATCAATTGTTACATTTGATTTCCACAACACCAAGCAGTATCTCCAATGGCAGTTGAACTTGACATCTTTATCTAAATATTTTGGGGTTGTGGAGACGAAAGAGTTTTACTGTCCATTTTCAAACCCCACAAAGGTTAGGGACTTCTAATATATCCTTCAGTAACCCTTGCTTCCTCGGTGCCCATACCTGGAAGCATGTTATTGTCTTGTCTTCCTAAAGTGTCGTTTCTGGTCATGATGTCACTTTTCACTTCCCTCACAGCTAAAGCAATATCCATTGATACTCAGTCTGGGCCTCTTACCTTGCTTCTTTGCCCAAGGTTCTTTAAAATCACACACACACACACACACACACACACAAATGGAAACTTGAAGTTAATGGAAACCTAAAAATAGAAGGGACAAAGCATTTCATTTACAATGAGAAAGGGATTCAGTGACACTTGCCCTGTGTGTGAATTTGCAAGAACATTTATGGTATTATCCTGTTTTACCTGGATTTCCCACGACCATTTCTCATAACTACATAGTGATTTTTTTTTTTTTGAGGTTTGACTTCTATGGCTCTTTGCTCCCAAATTCATTTGTAGATGAATTGGGGTATTTTTGCCTGAAGATACTACATTGAAGTCTCTTCCTCCTATTTTCAGTGTCCTGTTCACAAATCCACAAACCTTAGGCAGTAATTTATTCAAACACTCTCATCCAGGTAGACTGCAATATAATCCAAGAATAAAAGGTCTCTCTTTGTAGGAAAACCTCTCAACGCTAGGGTAAGTTGATAACCGTGGAAAGTTATCTGCAAAATTGGTCTATGGGGGTGTGAGGCTCTTTTATGAATTGACTTGGGCAAAGTATCTGAGTAATTATTTTTTCCTTAGATTATGTATAACAAGTATTTAAAAATTCCTCAGCATTAAAATACTTGAGTACTATCACAAAAGAGCCTAAACATCCTACAAGAAATCTAACAAATCGGTGACTTTAGTAACATCTGCTAAAAATATCTTTCTGCCTTAGCTTTTGAATACTTTCAGGTTTACAGAAGCTTTCCTAGGATATTTGTACTGGGGGAGTGGACTCATTAAGATATTGCAAGATGTCAGAGACATTTTAAGAACACAGTGAAAAGGGTTGGATTTTTCGGTTTATTCTTGTTCTGAAAATTGAGTCTAGGCAGTAAGGTGTTTTGTACATTCCCACGTAGCTTGGTTTCAGACCTGTTATTCAACCTGACTCAGAAAAATCTGCCTACTGTCAAAACAGACAAACAAAAATTCTAAAGAATGCAAAAGAAATTGACCAACATTGTTTGTTCAGATACCTCTCTGATCTGTTCTCATACTTACAAGGTCAACAGTGCCTTTTATTGGTAAAGGAACAAAAGAAATGAATGCCAATTTCATTAATCCAAGGGAATCCTAGAGAAAGCTCTTCTAGTGGCCGTAACCTTACCTAGGAAGGTGATTGAATCAAGAAGTGAGCAATTAGACACTTGTTAGGAAAACACCATTGTCGAGTTCCAAAAAGCATCACTGAGGGTAGAGGTACATCCACGTGAGGAGATGAAGGGACATAGCCTGTGAGTACCCACCGCTGTCGTCTAGGCGGTTATTACCTGGGGTTTTAATGAGCAGCACCAGTCCTGGACTGTCGGA